TGTATTCACCATGACACAGGCAGTCTGTGGTTTGTACTTGTTTAACTTTTGTCTAGTTTCTGAACATATATGAGGAGCTGTGAGCTCTGAGTGCTCACAGCTAACGGCTGTGTTGTTTTTCTGGGGTCCTCTGAAGATCACGTCACGGCTCCGCCTACACTGCGTTACTATAGATACTGCCCCAGTTCCTAAACTGTAATGGAAATGCGCCATAAAGTGAGCCAGTCCTAACGAGGCCCAGCCATACCGAGCGGGGCCGAGCGAGGCCGTGTAGTGGAAACGCGACATTAATCTCAACACACCAATTAAAGAGCTTCTTAGCATTATGACCACTTGTATTATACCGTAAGTATACATGTTGAAGTGAGTGACTTTGATAATAGTTCAAAGATAGTTCCCTTCTTCTTTTACTCACCCATCTCTTAAGTGTTTGTAACCAGTCTTCACCGCACATCTGATAGTATGTGGTTTGTTTATCTGGCGATTCAGAAGTGCACATTTGATGCTCGCGTGCCATTAGGACAGAGTGACACTCAAGTCATCTGACATCACTGAAGAAGATTCGGAGACAGTTTCTTCCCGCGGGCAGTGAGACTGTTAAAAAATTGAACTGTTGAAACAACTTCAAAACATTCTTCAGCTACTCAATAATATGTATCTAATACCTAATATATATATATATCATTCCAATAACTTGTATATAGACTCGTACTGCACTATTCCACATCATCACTTTATTTTATAACTATTTTTTCTTTTTGTATTGCTCTTGCTCTTATTGTTATTATGTTGCATTGTTGGAGAAGCCTGTGACATAAGATTTTCAACTACATAATTACTCTGTAGCTATGTCAGATAGACAATAAAGAACCTTGAACCTTGAACCTGTTGATAAGGAATAACTTGACCTTAAATTAAATTGAATTATCAATTAATGACAGACAATTTGTGTGACTACCATAAGGCAACAGGATAATACCCATTTTTATTATCAATTTTTTCTACACAAAGAAGAACATATACATCAGACCTATTGCATATCAAGTATTGATAACACGAGTAATGATAATCGGTTAAAAACACTTTTTGTCATCAGTGGTTGTTTCCTGCTTATTGACATTGTGTTGCCCTTAAAGTATTTCTCTTTATACATGTTTTCTCCAAACTCACAGTGTCACTCATTGGTTGATATATCATGAGAGAAGTTTTCTCCTGACTTGCTGTTTCAATAAAGCCAAACCCTTCTAACTTTCTATAATTGTTTAATATGCAGGGGAGAAACTCAGACAAGGTGGGGAATCCCCAGCTGAATGTGAAATTGATTTTAGAGATTCAAAAGTGTCTGGCAGTTTAATTAAGACCTCTGTGTTGACGTGTTGTCGATTCAGCCCCAGGCCTTTGAGACGCCAGTTTTCTTTCATACATTCACTGACACATTTTAGCATTCAGGTGTCAGTGTAATAACATTGAGAAATAGCCAAACAGCGTAACCAGTTTAATACTGAATATTCTGTAAATTGTTCCCAATATGGGCAACACTTCATGTAGTTTGTGATTCACATGCTTTATGCGATTTCTCAAATGTTATCTCTCAATATAATCCTGCAGTTAGGCTCACAGAACAGTTTAAGCCACACACTTATTCGTAGTCATCATTTTCTTTCATATTTGTTATTGCTATTTTATGATTTTCTTTTGAGAAATCAAATGACTGACAAAGTGAGGAAGAAAAAGAGTTCCAACCCATTACAGTTTTGAACATTTCTGGTAGGATAAGATGAAGGCGCGAAAAAAGAAATGGTTTCTAGTTTAAATCAAACTGTACTACCATTCCTCCACTTATCAAATGAAAGCAATAAGGCCTTATTTTTACTCCATCAGTTTAGGGAAAGTAGTGGTTCTGTGCTGTAGTATATCATTTGTCATTATTGTAGCTCAGAGAAAAATGATTCTTGCTCGCTGCAAATTGGAGGACCTTCGTTTCGAGACTCATTCCCTTCAGCTCACCGGTTCATTACATCCAGCTGTCGTCCTTCTTTTGAAAATTGTATCTAGAGTTTCTATCAGGTCTGTGTGTGTCCCCCGGACAGATCTGATCATTCACTTACTCCGGTCAGGATTGTGACGGTGTGATTGAGTACAAATAAATATAAAGGAAAAGAGTAGAAAGAGATGACCGGCCTGTATTCTATCTGTTCCACCCGGGACCTTAGGTCGGCATCTTAAGTATTAACAGCAGCTGTATAAATGGATACACAAACATATCCAAACATCCCTCCTCTCAGGGGAATGTGCTTACTGAATGTATCACTTAGGGTAACATCCAGCCCTACCTTTTATTTTTTAAATCAAATAAGGAGTGGTAGATATTTTTTAGAAAAGAAACCTGAACAGAATGTAAGATGGAAACAGCCGCAAGGAGTTGTTTTGAGATGAGAAGCAGAGTGAAGAGCACCAGCAGTGAAAGTGACCCCAACATTTCCTTCTTTCTGAGATGACACAATGGCAAATGTGGGAAAGCGGAAGCAAAGGTTCCCTAGTGGGGTTAAAAAAGCAACAAAGGAGCATGTTACCCCTGAGAAGTACAAAGAGTTTCCGTATCCAGCCACACACACATCACGTGGTCCAGAGACATGATAGAACCATGATATCAATGGAAAGGGAAGTGAAGGTTTTTTTAATGCTGAGGCGAGTGAGGCCAAGCTAAGGACAATGATGATGTCATCGAACAGGAGGTGAAAAAGTCCTTTTGGCTTTTTGGTGTAATTTCCTTTAGCATTTTCATTGTTATCATTAGTATAGTCAACTGTGGACAGTTCTTTCTTGCTGGTATGTGAATTAAATTGTTTCAGCTTTTATATTATATTCAGGCAACATCCAGATTATTTTTTCTGGATCGTAAAAAACATTATGTTCCCTTGTTGTTGTACAACTAAGTATAATTGAAACTACACCAACTGCTAAAACTCCAAAATACCTAATCATAGCTGTGATGGAAGTGCATTGTATTGCCATTGTGAGGATATGCAGGGTTCGAGTTATAAACTGAGCTCTATGGGGGTCTTTGAAACTCACACACACACACACACACACACACACACACACACACACACACACACACACACACACACACACACACACACACACACACCTTCTCTTTGTGAAGGGACTACTTCAGTGAAACCCATCCCTCTGCCTGTTTCACCTGTAACATGCAGAGAAACATCGACTATGGTGCAACACCCACCAGCAGCAGGGCCCTTCCCCATCCTGAACAGGAAGGTTTTAGGGACTGCTGGAGAAGATTATAAAAGCAGAGAGGTTGGAGGCAAGTGACAAGACAGCCAGTAATATGTCATGTTAGGTCTCGACAGAGAGCGGAAGAAAACAGAGGAGTTTCACTTGAACCAGGGCCAAAACTCTGAGCCTGAGGGGGGTGAAGTCAGGGAAGATTGGGAGGATGTTACTCGAAATATAAATTTGATTAGCTGCAATATATTACATTAATGGAAGACGGTGGTAGCATCTCTTATCTGAAGGCATGTGTGGGTTTGAGAGAGCTTACTGTAAAAACTAGTATATTTTGTAGTACTGGTTCCACTTTAAATCGGACTCTTTTGAGACTAAATCAATTAATTGATACGCTATCAGTGTTGTTCCAACAAAATGCTATTCCTGGCATCATGGAGAAAGGCTTATTCAAACATTTAGCAAAACATTTGGGAACCTATCCATGTGAACATATTTTGGGGGTGGACCTCAAATCCTCTAGGGGGGTCCAGGGGCATGCCCCCCCAATAAGATATTTTTTTGGAGTTAAATGCATCAATCTGGTGCATTTTGAGGGGGAAATAAAGAGACTAGATCTATGGAAACACCCATATGAAACAGATGCCACATCATGTAGACAGACAGTCACCCTGTGTGAGGCAAACCCACATTTGCGCAGCGTTGTGTTCACAATAGCTTACATTGGGAAACCTCCCGGTCCTCCTGATGGCCAGTCCGGGCCTGCCAGCAGCCCTCTACTTGCTACAAACTTAAATATGAAAAGGTTCAACTACGCACACACACACATCATCTCGGCTCGCGCAGCACGCTAACAGGCATAGATTGTGCAATAATGTATTGCGCACCTTGGAGGTGCAGTGCAGGCATATTGTCATTCAAGAGATGCGTAGTTCTTTTGGAAAACATGTTTTTCTTTTAGCTTATTTACCTCGTTAACGTAAATAATACTCATTACATTGACACATGCATTATTTGTGATTTAAAATAATGGTTGTTGGTAATGTACAGTATTAGTGACCCCCACAGATGTATGATTTCACTGCGTCCGTGGGAGCTCAGACCCCTCCTTATGGGAGCTCGGCTCCCATTGGCTCCCACATAACTCGAACCCTGAGGATATGTAATCATTATGGTCTTAGTCTCTTGTGACTTGTTTGAAATGTAATACCTCTCTGCTTGAACGCAATGTAATTTGTTACCTGTTTGTATTTAGTCAGCAGAGCACTAGAATAAATATATCACTTCTTTTAATAGAAATGTGTTGTGTTCAGCACAATTTCTGCTTTGACAGGAACACTTTATCCATCTCTTAAAACCAGTAACACTGTTCTCTATGTATGTGTATTACTTTGTCAGGATAGATATCAAGTCTAGTGCTTGTTAATAGGGTTTGTCTGTTCATAGTTATGCTGTGTTTTCTGCACAGGGAATGTTATCATTGTCTTTGTTGCTGTTGGCTCCAAAAGTGAAATGTCCAGGGTTTTACTCATGCCTTTGTTTCTTCCGCCAACAGAAGCAAGCTTGAACTTACTTAACTCATTAATATTCCTTATCTTCCGACCTGAACTGGACTGTTTTATCCTTATCCAAAGCTTCTCTAACGATATCATCAACATCAGGGCCACAAGTTAAACTGTAACCTTATATTCAGGAATTGAATGTTGCAGTCAAAACTTATCTGTTGCGTTTTTCTTGTTTTGTTTCCACAGTGACTAATAAGAAACCCTCCTGCGTGTCCATCACTAAGGTGAAGCAGTTCCAAGGATCTTCTGCTTTCACAAAAAGGTCACAGTGGACCATCGACCAGCTACGGCAGGTCAACGGCATCGACTCCAATAAAGTATGTCATTTATAATGCCTTTCAACCGCTATTAATGTAGTTACTATCGCTAGGAATTACGCTACTTATTGCTGATACAACATACTTCTTGTATCCTGCTTTCAACGTTTCTTTTCAATTACTTCCCCCACTCATCTGTCACCCATGTCTCCCTCTTTCTTTCTAAGGACTGTCCAGAGTTTGACCTGATGTTCGAGAATGCTTTTGACCAGTGGGTTGCTTGCTCAGCAGGAGAGAAGTGCACCTTCATCCAAATCCTTCACCACACCTGCCAGCGCTACAGCTCCGCACAGAAACCAGTTTTCGCCAACTGTCAGTCCAAACTTTTGGGGGGTAAGACAGTTAAAATAACAACAACTGCTAACTGTCCTCTGGTAATATTCCTGCTCAGAACACAGTGGCTCTGCTTTGCCAGACTCACTGTCATACTGTGCTGTAAGCCAGTTTGAATCTGATTATGTATGATGACAACCAGCACCTGGTGTGCATGAAAATGCATGCTTATTCCTCGTACACAGCATCTGTTGAGCACTCTGCTGAAGTGAGGTCAACGAGGATGTCCAACAAAATTCATCAGCTGTGACTCAAAGCATCTGACACAGATCAACTGGTTTCCAGCACATTGAAATACTCAATACAGCACTAAATAATAACTTCCCCTAATTTATGTGATGACACGTTACATTGTGTGCTTGACGTGTGCAGTTTATTATTATTATGATTGGTTTCAACCCTTCAAACTAATCACAGTAAAAGCTCTAACAGACAAGTGAAAACTAACCTCCCACTTAAAAATAATATTAAATTCATGCCCAATTAATAGGTGAAGACAGGCTGATCAAACAAGTCAGAGCACAATTCCCAAATGTTACAAATTGTACATCCAAAACTGTGTAATTGGTTATTTCCTAGCTGTGTTTGTTGCACAGGAGGTTGAGGGTGGGGGTGCTGGTTTATGGTTTCCTCTACAGCGAATCGCAGTAGGGAACGCGGCATCCCGAGCAGTTTAATCAGATATTGATCTGTTTACCCCCCAACCCTCATCTTTAAACAACATTCAACCCACTGCATGAGGAATTATTTATGGACCACATTTCAAACCCGCCTCCTGCTGCGTGCTCATCTGCCCCACATATACAAGAGGCAATTACCAGATAGATATTTAAAAAAAATGTTCATTCATGTTTCAAATAGAGTTCTGTAAAAACGAATATATAAAATCAGTCATAAGTAGGGATGCTCCGATCGCCAATTTTGGGGCCGATCGCCGGAATCAGTATCGGCCGATACCGATCGCCGGAATCAGTATCGGCCGATACCGATCGCCGATCCGATCGAGTGGGCGGGGCCTATGGGGATCTTCCATTTAAAGTGATGTTTAAAACTCATTTAATGGGGCTCATTCACTGGCGCTTCCACAAACAACAACCAACATAATTATTACATTCAAATGAAGTACATTATTCAAGTTTACATTAACTTTGGATAATAACACGGGAGAAATGAGCGGAAGCGCTCTCTTTTCCTCTCTCTCCTGACAGCCTGTCAGTATCTCATGCAGCTCACTGATCCAGTAATGAGTGACCCGACAGTGAAGAATAAACATATTTATAACTAGTTTAGCTTGTTCCAGTGGTAGATAAAATAGCTAAGTGTGTTAGGTCTAACTCTTAGTGTGTGTTTTGCTCCGCTCACCGGTCCGTCACAGCGGATTTCTGCTTCACACACACGTTGCATACCGCTATTTTACTGTCTTTTTCGGACACCTTAAAATACTGCCAGACTGGTGAAGCCATTTTGGCGAGCTTGTTTTGCCGCGCACAGAGAAAAGTGTCATGTATTTTACGTCATGTGATCGGCTCTCCCGATCGGAATTTATAAAGAGCACCGATCGATCGGCAGCGAGTGAATATCAGCCGATCGATCGGAGCATCCCTACTCATAAGTTATATCGAACTTCCTTTGTTACTTTACTCTGTGTTTGTGTGCGCCCACTATGCACTGATTGAAGATAAAGCTGCATGTTGTTGTGTTTCCTTGACCTCCCTCCTACTCTGAAAACCATGTCTGTGTTTAACATACTTAAACAGAATCTGGTGCATATTTTAGTCTCTGTAGGTGTTAGGGTAGTGGTCTCCCAGAGAGCTAGGAACACAGTGGTCTTTAGTATAGGATGGATTATAGAGTGCTAATGTTGCAACCACACGCCTCCAGTATTTCTGAAAATTACACTTGGACGCCCTGTAGCATAATTCTGTACTTAAAATAGCCAACCCTCTGGTTTTGTAGAATCAGCTACAGTATTTTAGAGCCGTTGACAACATGCTGTAAGTCCATCTGGCTGATGGACTGATAATGAACTCCTGGCTCTAAGAGAGTAGAGGATAGTGTCTGATAGACTAAAAAGTTGACAGGTCAGTGGCACATTGTGACAGGAGGAAGAGAGAGGATGCCAGCCCGCTGCCAACTCTGTCCACCCCAGTTTAAGTCTCACACCAGTGCAAAACAAAAATCACGACGCTGCTCAGGTGTGGGACCATAACTGTGGGCGACTCTTATCTGCAGAATCCTCTGGGATGGCAGCCTCCAGAATCACAAAAGGTAGACACTGTATATAACAAGAATTGTGTGCTATCGACACCATTATGAAGTACCCTAGAGGAGACAGTATAGGGTTTGCCATTCAAGATGGGGAGCATAAAAATAGTGAACATGATATTAGTTGTCAGTTTCTCTATGTGTGGGAGATATGTCATGACAATGCCATCAGCAGTCTGTCAGCTTAATCTTGTCCTGTTTCCCCATGCTGGTTGTAACTACATGAGGTCCTGTCGATTGTGAATAGAAAATTCAGACAGCAGCCATATTATCCTTTCATTACATCCGTGTGTTTACATTTAATCAGAAGGTGTCATCTCAAGTCTCATAAGGTCACATTTATGATGGAGCCAAAAAGGCACCTGATGAATGAATTGAAGGTTTTGGAAGTGTTGATATTCTGATGTAAACAGTATAATTAACACTTAAGATTCAGATGTCTTCGTGAACAGTTTTCTCGGTGAGGGGATACTTTAAACTTCTCTCGAAGCTGTCTAGATGCACAGGCCCATGTATTTAAACCTTGATGGGGCATGTAATTGGTCCAGAAATAAAAGCAGCTAGTTTGCTAATTGCCTTGTTATCAGTGCCAGCTTGGGCTGCTGCCCACACTGTAAGACCCTTTTATACCCTTATTTTCACTTGAGCTTCTCTAGCTGACTGGCAAAGTATTCATGAAGTAAATCCTTTTTTTTCGCTTAGCGTTTTGCAAACCTGTCTCCTAGTGGTTTAAACTAAATGTACATTTTATTATTAGGGAGGATGGATGAATAATCAAACAGTAACCATTTTAATATTGTTTTTGACATTGACAACTGAAAACAGTAACCCCTCTTGACTCATTTTAAAACGATATCATGTTTTGAACATCAAAACTGACTGTGATGTTTTGCTATTTTCCCATCACAGAAGGCCAAACTGTAGATTCAGTCATTTTCCGTTGCAAGGTCTATTTGAAAAGAAAGAGGAAAGCATTTGTTGCACACAACGGTCATCTACTAAGACAAGGTAAGCCGGTGGTACAGTATGCAAAAGTACTGGGACCACTGTAAATTAAAAAAAGGTTTTGCCCCCAACTAAAAAGTGTTGAGTTCCTAAATAAATAAACAAAAAATAAGTTTCTTTGTTAAACATGTGTATCCCCAACTAACAAATGATAGAACTAATAGAAGTACGGTAATGTTTATAGGAGACTACATTATCTATACTGTATTTAACAGAGCTTTCCTCCCTATGTTACTGTGGGGGCTGACTACATGCTGAAAGGGATTTTAAAGAAACATCCAAAGGTTATGTGAGTTATGTTCACTGTCCTTGCCCCTCTCCGTCAGACTGTGCAGAGTCACTGACTAACACTGAGGTAACTCACATAATGCATGAGGGCAGTACAGTGATGAATTGCTTCTTCCTTTCCTTAGTATTCTGCACTTTTCTATATAATTTCATACATTAACATTTAAGCTTATAAGACTTTAATGACGGACAGTAAGGCTGTTTGATACATTATATGATGCTGACATTTATCTGCTGATTAAATGCACAGAGAAGGCTGCTTGCATGAATACCTAGTAGCTATTTTTCAGCTACACTAGTCGGTATCTAAATGGCTCTGTGGTACATTCAGTACAGACTGTTCCTCCCCATTGGTGTTCTTTGTGCTTTTTAACCAGCATGACAGTGACTAAACTAAATGACAACTGAGCAAGCAAGGTCAAGAATTATCCCGTCATGAAATAATGTCAGCGGCTGACTGATCTCCTTGCTTTTCTCTGAGTGGTTAACCAAAAGGGTTTCAGGCTACACATTTGTGTGGCTCTAATTGAACATACCATGTGACTAACCGATGGTTGTAGTCAATGGTATAATGATGAAGGCATATTCACAAGGGTTTATACGGTACATTTTTCACGGGGAGGGAGTGGTATCGGAAAAAGAGGGAAGTGTTTTAATGGCTATATCATTTTGTAAGAACATACAGAAAAGGGGTACTGCCCTGTATAAAAAGTTTGGGAGTGACCATTAAAAAGGAGGAAAGAGAGAATGAAGCATATGTAGAGTTTCTGCTGTAAGAGGTGGAGAAAAGTGATTGGATAAAAGGCTTTAGAGATTTAATAGGTGTCTGTCAGGAGTGCCAGAGAGTCGCCCCTTCCTGGTTGAACCTCTGCTATAGTTTCATTATGTGGCTGCGGATAATGTCAAGATTTGCATTAATGAAACGGCAGCGGGGGGTTATCTTGCGGTAGGAGCCCCATAGCGATGTCTTTAGGCCCTTATGATGTCTATTCCATTAGCCATTTTTTGATTGTCACATTTTATAGTTTATTAAATTGTCAAATAGAAACATGCTGTAGGTTTTTCTTGTTTTCAATATACAGGAAACTGACACTTGCAAAATAGCTCATTTACTCACAACATATTCTATAAAGATAAATTAAAACATGTTACTTTATCATGGTAACACAATATATACATATATTTGATACTGCTCAATTATTCCTTACACACTTCCTTACTTGGGTTTCCTTACAGCTGACCGTCCTATACTTTTTGATAACACCTAGAAGCAGGAGGAAAGGTTTTATGTTTATTTAGGTAAAACAAATCTTAATTTTGGAACAGCAACATTTGAAATAATTGCATATCAATACATTTCCCCTAAATTAAACCATACATTTGTATCTTCAATAAAATATCCGTCTGTAAAGTACAGTTGACTATCCATATAAATGAAATTGATTAATTATTTAAAACCTCACACTTTTGGATGTTTGCCTCTTTGTTCGATGTCGTCTCCTAACTGGCAAAGGGAAAAGTAAGTTATTAAATGTCTCATAGCAAACATTTTGAAAACAAGGTCATGGTTGAAAATAACAGAAATGACTGAGTACTTGAGAGCCAAGAGGCTCTTTATATGTAGTTACAGAACTTAGAGAAATCCTTGACAGAATCCTTCATAAGTTCTTTGGATGAATAGCGGCAGCCTCAAGCTCTCTGGTAATATCAGAATGATAAGGAGAAGGTTTGATGGTACTTGTTGAAGTGCAGATAAGTATGTGCTCGCGAATACTTAAAAGAAATGATTGTGCGACTCTCTCTCCCTTCCTACACCCACAGATTTTACCCACAGCGTTATCCTAGCACACTGATAATATAATGTCTGCCAAGGGAAAGTATTAAAGCCACTGTAGCATCTTTTTATATGAATGGATCTCTTTGTGTCTTGGCTGTCGGCACCTTGAGAAGTTTATCTGACATGCTCCCGTTGATAACCATCAGTTTATTTCCAAAGCTGCCCGTTATCTGAACTGGAAAAGGAAGGGTTAACTTTGAACAATCTCTCCCCTTCCTTGTTATGTTCGTCTTTGCACATAGTTTCTATTTTCTGGAAAATGTTGTTGCCAGAAAACATCTTGACTTTTTGTTCAGTCTCCATTGTTAAAGAAACCCTGGCTTGACATAATATCATGGGGTATAGCAACACAATTGCTCCTGCATTGTTGAGCAAGGTGTGCCATGGATGTACTAGGATTGGTCTGTACTGTTCTATAGCTTATTCCAAATCCACAATGTAAGATGCCAAAATCATCACAAAAAGCCTCTGTTTGAGATCTACCGTTGCAACGTCAGTGTCCAGCATCATTAAAATGACTGTAATAACACCCGATAACCTCCTCAGTAACATAAAAGAACTGCTGTTATCCCAACTGATAACATAAGCACTAAGGCTCACAGCGCTGGCACCACATAACATAACATAATTTACTCCTACATTTTTCATTCTGCTCCTGATGCTGCAGCCCCTTCATGCTTCTCAAGAATGTCTCCACCCTGTGTTTTACTGTAATTACGTTCTCCACTGGGGGAGCCCACGCTGCAGCCCACCACTCGTCTTTGGAGAAAAGCGGGAATGAGAAAGAACAGACCAGAGAGAGGAAGAATTGTGTGCGGGAAATTAAAGGGAGATGTTCTCTGAGTGGATGGTGTGGAGGGGCTGTCAGAGTGGGGGTTATATTGAAGATGATGGTAGAATTACTCCCTGGGCTCTTCCGAGGAGGAGAGGATTAAGAGGAATCCCTCTGAAGGTGAAAAGGTCTTATCCTTTCTAGTGAAGACCTAAAGTTTTCCAGTGAAAGTGTTTCTTTTCCTAAATAGAAGCCGGGAAGGACTGTGTGCAAGAATATGTAAACCAGAATCCACTTTTGCTCCTGTCTGCCATCCACTGAACGTACAGTAAAACACTTGCTATAGAGAAGTAACTCATACAACCCCATGTAAAAATATAAATATATATCCCTTTAAGAAAGAAGTATAACCTTCATGTTGTAGCCGTGGACTGTTAATTTCTTGTTTGCTGCTGTAGACCGATACCATATAAACCTTTAACCACATGAAAAAAGAAATCCTGACGGGTTTGAAGCTTTTATGTTACGGGTCCAGATGTGTTAGGTGCAATGTGGGATGCATTCTGTAGTTATTTCACTTTAATCCCTTGGAAATTGACCATAAAAAAAGCCTTGTGCATGTTTCCTCCTTTCTATCCTTTTTGTTATTCATAGCTGTGGGGATGATCAACTATACATCCATCTGTGTGTGTGCAGCACAGGTGTGTCTCTACATAAACAGCTCTGACTTTATCAAATTAACTTCTGTTGAAGCAACAGCAGCTGCTCGGGCTGTCATAACACCCACTGCAGTCGAGTCGTCCCAATTATCTGTCACTCAGCCTACCTGCCTTCATGCCACGGGACACACACTCACTGTATAGCCGTTTCCTGTGGGAGCCGATAGAATCAGGCTTGTCAAGTCTTAATACAGTCGCTACCTTCTCCCTCCGTCTATTCCTTCTCCTCTAACTCATTTACTGTTTCCAAGGATATAGACCTTGGAAAATTGAATCTAGTTTTTCCTTCCGCTGGGTGTTTGTTGTGTTTTTCTTTATTATTTTTCACTTTTTAAAGTTAGCTACAGAGTAAAGAGTGAATGTTCCTTGAGGGGTCCTCACTAAATCAATTCCCTAAATATAAAAAAAGGCAAAATAATAATAATTTTACTGTTACATTCTAAACCCTGAGGTGGCGCAACAACGTTTTATAAAAAAAAGGCTGGTCAGGACCTTGCTACCACAGATGGAAATGTTTGGTCAATGAAAAGTAGCAGTTCACATGACGCATTTAAAACAAAGGCAATTTTTGTCCAATACTGGCCTGGTGCATGTGACAGATTATACCCCACTGGAACAATACAACTGTATTGCCGACAAAAATAAAGCAGCAGAAATATGTGCTGCTCGAAGTCTGTGCGTTAGCGTAGCACATAACAGCATCACTCCCGATGTGCTGTAGATTAATAACTTGTCAGCGGAAACATCCGCAGGGCTAACGCTGCTATAGAAAGATGTGTTCTCACTCTTATATCCAGCACTGGGTCTCCGGGGCTGCCCATGCATCTCCTCTCTTTATTACACTGTAGTTCAGAGGGGAGTAATCGCAGAGCTGACAGCACAGGTTCAAAATTGAGGAAAAGCATGTCATAACGAATAAAATACTGTGTTGCCGTGGCATACTTTGAAGTTTGAAAAGGTTAATTTCACTTGATCTTTCCCTGAAGTAAATCAACTTTGAAGGAAAGCCATTAACCAACTTCCCACGTTGCACCTGGTGGAAGCCATTCACTTTTTGTCTTCTACCATTAACACTAATGCTCAAGGTCACTGATTCAACTACATGCATCTAAAGTCACAGGTTAATTTGTTGTCTACTTCATGTTATTATTCAACAGATGATTCACAATTTGTCATTTCTCTCCTTCTCTTGTGTCCTACTTTACGTTTCTTCTTCCCTTCTCTCTGCTGTGCCTCTCTTCCCTCCGACTGTTATCTGCAGGTAACAGCATACTGCATTCAAGATGGCGCCTGTGTCGGCTCGCCGCTCCCTCAGCTCTCTACCTTTAGCAATCCTGTTTTTGTTTTATGTTTGTCAGAATGTTTCTGCTCTGCTCGTTTACGATCGCCAAACTCTCCTCCACCTCAGACCCTCACTGGAGTTGATATTGCTGCCCAAACCTACATCTGGCAACCATAAATCGTCCCCCCCCCCTCTACTGTAGAATATTCCCACCTACCTGCGCCGTTGCCCTGCATCCTGCCTCGCCGAAAGCGCTTTAGACGACGGGGGAAGCGTGGTGGTGCACTGGTCCATCTTAATGCTGCGTTCACACCGGACGCGATGCGACTATTCGCTTCGCTCTAATGCTGCGTTCACACCGGACGCGATGCGATGTTTGGGGGCGGCGCGATTACATGTAAAGTCAATGCAGAGACGCGGACAGACGCGAATTCGCTCCGACGGCGCGCATGAAGCGGTGGATGCGGCGCGAATCACGCGATTGAGGCGATTGAACGGTGCCGCGTTAAACGCGAGAGTTCAATTTTTTCAACTCGAGCGCCAAATTCACGTGACGCGTTCTCGCGGAAGCCAATCAGCGGTGAGGATCTCAGCCGCCGTCACTGACGTTCAACCACACAACATCAGCCGTTAGCTGTTAGCAGTTAGCACACAGAGCTCACAGCTCCTCATATATGTTCAGAAACTGGACAAAAGTTAAACCAGTACAAACCACAGACTGTCTGTGTCATGGCGAATACAGTCGCTGCTTTATTTATGTCTGTAGGCCGTTGTTATGAGTGTGGAATGAGCATATACAACGTTAGCTTAGCCTGGTCGACCCGATCTTCATTCAGAAAACAAGCATTTTAAAAGGTGTTTTGCCTGCCGTCTTGTCTGCAGACTTGTCAAAGCATTAATTCATGGTTGTTACTAACCGGTATCAGTATGTTGTTACTTCGGCATCATTTAGAAACGTGTATTACAATTACAGACAGTCTGTGGTTTGTACTTGTTTAACTTTTGTCCAGTTTCTGAACATATATGAGGAGCTGTGAGCTCTGTGTGCTAACTGCTAACAGCTAACGGCTGATGTGTGGTTGAACGTCAGTGACGGCGGCTGAGATCCTCACCGCTGATTGGCTTCCGCGAGAACGCGTCACGTGAATTTGACGCTCGAGTTGAAAAAATTGAACTCTCGCGTTTAACGCGGCACCGTTCAATCGCCTCAATCGCGTGATTCGCGCCGCATCCACCGCTTCATGCGCGCCGTCGGAGCGAATTCGCGTCTGTCCGCGTCTCTGCATTGACTTTACATGTAATCGCGCCGCCCCAAACATCGCATCGCGTCCGGTGTGAACGCAGCATAAGGCATACCTGACGGCTTCTCCTGGGACTTATCCACGCCTCGGATGTCATGGCCCTCCCGCTGCACGCCATGTGAGGGATCGGTGGATTCGCCCCGTTTTTCCGGAGCTGCGGACTCTGCTGGGCCCGCTGGCAGCTCCTCCTGCCCGACTGACTGCTCCCGGCCCGCGCGGCGTTCAACACGCACATCTTCGTCAGCTGAGACGCACTACACCTTCGGCAAGCCCGGAGCGAAAACTTTGCATGGCTTTGCTAAATGCTAGGTCGATGGCAAACAAAACGTTCCTGCTAAACGACTTCTTCACCTCTCGTGAACTGGATTGTATGTTCCTGACGGAGACCTGGGTCCACGCTGGCGAGTATACACCGTTCTCTGAACTTCTTCCTCCTGACATTCTTCAGCTCCCCCCGTACCACCGGCCATGGTGGGGGCATAGCATCAGTGTTTAGAGCTAGCCTCCAATGCCGATTGCTTCACCCTGTAACTACCTATGCTAGCTTTGAGTTGCAGCTTTTTGAACTGAACCCGGCCTCGCCTATACTCTGCGCAGTCGTGTATCGTCCGCCAAAGTGCAATAAGGATTTCATAAATGACTTTTCTGACTTTCTGTCCGGGATCATGGTGAAATATGATCGTGTTTTGATCTCCGGAGACTTCAATGTCCATGTGTGTTGCGAGTCCAAACCTCTGGTTAGGGACTTTTTAAATCTCCTTGATTCTTTTGGTCTCGTTCAGTCCGTGGCTGGCCCAACACACGAAAAAGGACACACTTTGGACTTAGTATTATCGTTTGGACTGTCTGTATCTGTGGATGAAATATGTGCAGCAACGCGTATCTCAGACCATTTACCGGTTCTGTTTACAACCTCCATCCCTTCCGCAGGAGTCGAATCACGTGCCCCTGCGCGTCCTCTGCGTTCGATTAACCCCTTGACTGCCTCACAGTTCTCTGATGTTTTTAATGCTTCTCTGATCTGTAAATTAGATGTGAACTGTGCTTTTAATGCTGATGAGCTTATCTCCATGTTTGACTCGACATGCACACTAATACTGGATTCTGTTGCTCCTTTTACGCTTAGACGCACCAAAGTTCTATCAGACCCGTGGCTCAATGACTGTACTTGTGCTCTCAGACGCGCTTGCAGACGTGCAGAGAGAAAATGGAAAAAGGATAAACTCCATGTCTCCCTAGAAATCCTTCGTGCTTGCCTTTCTGACTACCAGACGGCAGTCAAAGCAGCCAAAACAGAGCACATTTCTCTGTTAATCTCCAAAAACAGCCATAAACCTCAGGTTCTTTTTAATGTCCTCAACTCTATCATTAATCCCTGTGATGTTTCTTCTATTGTCCCATCGACTACTCTCTGTGATAAGTTTCTTAAATTTTTTATTGAAAAGGTATCTGCTCTTAGGCTAGCTCACACTAGTGCTACCCCAGATCCTGCTCCTTTTCTGTGCCCTGCTGTCCTCGACCACTTTGAACCTGTATCCCTCTCTTCTCTCTCGGATGTAGTCAAGCACCTGCGGCCGACAAACTGCACCTCAGACAGCATTCCCTCTCGCCTTCTCAGAGATGTTTTTGATTCAGTTGGAGCAAGTATTTTATTACTTTTAAACACCTCTCTTACCTCAGGATGTGTCCCAGCTGCCTTCAAACATGCCGTGGTTAAGCCACTCCTTAAAAAGAAAAATCTCGACCCCTCCATTCTCGCAAATTTTAGGCCCATCTCCCAGCTTTTTTTATCAAAAGCCCTGGAGCGAGTAGTCTACGCCCAGCTGCAGTCTTTTTTAACCATGCATGGAATCCATGAAAAGTTTCAGTCTGGCTTCAAACCCATGCACAGCACTGAAACAGCCCTTTTAAGAGTTTTTAATGATCTGCTCCTAGCCGCCGACTCAGGTAGCTCCGCTGTCTTGGTGCTGTTAGACCTGACAGCTGCCTTTGACACTGTGGACCATAGCATCCTGTTGTCACGGCTTGAACAGTCCGCTGGCATCACAGGCTCTGCCCTTACATGGTTCAGGTCCTACCTGACAGACCGTAGCTTCTCGGTACAGCTAGGTGCCTTCTCCTCTGCCAAAGCCCCTCTTACCTGTGGGGTTCCCCAAGGCTCGATTCTGGGCCCCATCCTTTTTCTACTGTACATACTGCCCCTAGGTTCAATTCTCACAAAACATAATATTCCCTTCCACTGCTACGCCGACGATGTACAGATATATCTGCCTCTCAAAGCAAATGTCAAACACTCACTACAGCAGTTGATGGACTGCTTAACAGAGATAAAATCCTGGCTGAGCAAAAACGTTCTCAACCTCAACGAGAGCAAGACTGAGGTCATCTTTTTTGGACCCCAACCTCCAGCCTCTCCGGTTGATATTCTGGGCTCTCTCAAAAAAAACATCCTCCCCTCGGTCATGAACCTTGGAGTGACCTTCACTAGCACTTTTAAATTCGACAAGCAGGTCAGCACTGTAGTCAAATCCTGCTTTTTTTAAATAAGACTATTGGCCAAAACCAAGTCGTATTTATCTTTTAATGACTTAGAAAGGGTTATTAACGCCTTTGTTACCTCAAGACTGGACTATTGCAACGCTCTGTATGTGGGTATGGACCAGGCCTCAATTAAACGCTTGCAGCTAGTCCAAAACGCAGCTGCACGTTTGCTGACTGGCCACAAAAAGCGTGACCACATCACCCCTATTCTGGCCTCACTACACTGGCTTCCAGTTCGGTTCAGAATTGATTTTAAAATCCTTTTATTTGTTTTTAAAGCCCTAAATGGGCTGGCTCCGGCCTATATAGCTGAACTCCTCCAGCGCTACACCCCAGCCAGAGCTTTAAGGTCTGTTGACCAGCTGTTGCTGGTAGTGCCCAAGACCAGGCTTAAAACCCGAGGGCACCGAGCCTTCGCAGCAGCTGGCCCTAGGCTCTGGAACACTCTGCCCCTCCATGTGAGGTCGGCCCAGACCCTAGGGGTTTTTAAATCTACACTAAAAACACACTTCTTCTCTCTGGCCTTCTAGTTAGAGCGGAGTACAACTCCTGACTTTTCCTTGTGTTTTATTTTTATTTTTTATATATATCTGTTGTAATTTATTGTCTTTTATTGTGATTGTAGTAATGTGTTTTTATTACATGTACAGCACTTTGGCTCGACCAAAAATCGCTTTTAAATGTGCTTTATAAATAAAACTTGATTTGATTTGATACTTTGAAGTTTGAAAAGGTTAATTTCACTTGATCTTTCCCTGAAGTAAATCAACTTTGAAGGAAAGCCATTAGCCAACTTCCCACGTTGCACCTGGTGGAAGCCATTCACTTTTTGTCTTCTACCATTAACACTAATGCTCAAGGTCACTGATTCAACTACATGCATCTAAAGTCACAGGTTAATTTGTTGTCTACTTCATGTTATTATTCAACAGATGATTCACAATTTGTCATTTCTCTCCTTCTCTTGTGTCCTACTTTACTTTTCTTCTTCCCTTCTCTCTGCTGTGCCTCTCTTCCCTCCGGCTGTTATCTGCAGGTAACAGCATACTGCACTCGGCTGCGGACAGTGTGACGAGTGCCGTACAGAAGGCGAGTCAGGCTCTGAACGAGCGCGGCGAGCGATTAGGCCGGGCGGAGGAGAGGACCGCGGACATGATGAACAGTGCCGAACAGTTCTCTGTTACTGCACAGAAGGTGAGGAAATATGTTCGCAAGACGCATTACAATTCATAACCTCAGGGTAGGCTTGCTTTAATGCAGCGCGTTGAAATTCTGAATTACTTATGGAATGTTTTGGAACATCTAGTAAAAATGTTAAAGTCATTATTAGTTCAGCCACAATAATACATATTTGACTTCAACCTGAGGATATTTGTAAGAGTTGCCTCATAGTGACTTCAGCTTTCTCTGCTCGGGAAACATAATCATCTTTTTCTTCTTCTCATTAACTCTGTTTGGTAGTGGGGGCTCCCTCATCCTCCATCCATCCCACATCTCTTGTTTGTCATGAAAACTAATTGCATGCTCTATAATGACGCTATTAGCATAATCTCGTTTTTTTTTTTTACTACAAAACAAAGAAAAAATGTTAGCTTTGTAACGAGCGCACCTGATAGCGATCATCATAACTGTGTCTGTAATAGCACGCAGTATATCACACACCCCTGGGTTTGCAGTCATGTTGTGAATGGAGAGCCTTCACTGAGACATGTGCCATTTAAAGTGGAATGTCAATAACTTCAGTAGAGCTATCCATTGCCTATTTTAATATGTTGAACCATTCATAACACGCTGGTGGTATAATTGAAAGACATTTGCCTTACAAGGCCCTCATACTGCTCAGAGACGAGCTTTCCCGCCGTGATGAATTTCTGAAACTGTGATAAGCAAAGAAAAATAACCCGGCTCTGGTGGTTTCTGTAGAAAATGAGTGTAGAACCCCCATGAAGAATGACTCATTTTCTGCCATTTCTCATTTCATTTTATGCCATTAGCTTTTATATTTGTTTTGTGTTATGATGTATCATTCGTTTTGCACACTATTATCAAGTCTCAGAGCTCTGCATGTCTGAAGCAAAGGCAGAAAGGCCTTACAGATGGATAAAGAAGTGGTGGAATTAACAGCTTTTTTTATGTCTTTGAATGGCTTTAACATCCTACTGCATGCGTTGTAAGAATCTTGAAGTGTCTGCAGCTTCATCTCGCCACACTGCTCAGTTTAAAAAAGACTCTTCTTTTCTGCCTGCTGCTCTACTGCCCCCACTTGTTCAACTAGCACATTTCAGTTCTTCTTTTTCCATGGCAACATACCCCATACTGTAGTCTGTGTGTGTGCATGTGTAATAGTGTGTGTATTCCTTCCTCTCGTCAACACCCCATAGCTTTGAATTAGATTTGTTTCCTTGGTCATCTCTCTAACGAGCCTCCAGCCAAGCCATTAGGGCCCTTGTTAATGAGATGAATTCAGTTGCCTTGTCATTGCCTGAATAGAAAAACACCATAACCAGTGTCATTATAAACCCCCCCTAACAGCTTGTTCTCCTTTGTGGAAGTATTCTAATTAAGTCAGATCTATACTGTACCACATTTTACTCACTGTGCTTACTTTTCCCTGTATTACATCTACACTACCTTTGCTTTCTATAGCTGGGTAGCATTTTGCTGATAGGATTATACAAATTCTCATTGTATTATCCCCCAACCCCCATCCTAATTTTTTCTACAGCTTGCCATGAAGCACAAGTGTTAGACCACTGCCAAAACCAACTGGTCACCAATTGCCAGTCGCTGTACAGGAGAAGGATTCCAGATTTTATTATTTTTTAATAGATTTAATATGATTACTATTTGTTAACATTTTAATGTTTTGGGTTGTTGAATTCTGGTACATCATCTGACGGCGACACATCTCGCTGGGGGGAGGAACAGAGGTAACCAACGCTACTTCAGACTGTCAGCCGAATGTTTCGTGCTCCTGTTTGCCAAATGTATTCACAAGCTATGACTGTGTTAACCACAGCCAATCAAAACACTTCCCCTCTTCATATGCTCACGTGAGAGTCAACATGCTGACAAGTCATTATCAGCAATCACTCAAAGACCAGGAACAGCTTGTATCGCTGGGTATTAATTGGTGAGAATTATTTATGAGCACTGCAGTGATTATGCAGCCGCTGTCATTGGTTTGTGACTGGATTGGTTGACTGTGAACACACAAAACATATATAAAAAAACACATATATAGCACATGCATACCTGAAGATTTTCTTATCTGATGCTTAGGTTTTTACCAGGTAAATAATTTGACGACGCATTAGGTAGGATGTGATGTCAGGTAGAAGGAATGATCACATCTGTGGAGAAAAATAACTCCACCCTGAACAACCAAAAAATCCCAAAGTATTTATTTTCAACAATGTTTTATTCTCTTTCGTCAACATTCGGACATTGCAGTCCTCTGTTTTGCTCTCTCACAACAGTATTAGTCAAAATGTTTTCAACATATTATTTCATAAACTGCACATGACACGGCTTGGATGGGTTTGTTTCTATAACAATAAATGACAACAGTGAAATAGTGAAGTCCTCTGTCTACCATTCCAAAACAACCAAAACTACGTGTAATAAAGTTCCTAACATATTTGGGAGTGTACTTGAAGAACTCTGTCTTGAAAAAAGCTTTTTTTAATTATAATAATTTATGTTGAATTCAGTAAACCAGCTTCTGCATTGTATAAAGCAACATAAGGAATATCTTCTAGTACTATTATCTAGGTGTCTGTGGAGCTAATTTGTCCTATTACCATGGGATCTTATAAATGACTCTTGGCTGTATTTCAACTTTAATCATTCAGTAGTCATTTCTTTATCTATTTTTTATAATTTGGGTCGGTCAATAAAAGGCTGTGTTTGCTGATAGATAACGGTCAAAATGTCTCAAATAGCAGCAGCAGCAGTGTGTAGTAGTTTATTTGTTGTCAGTGCTCTCACGCTAACGGTAACCTTGGCTTTCTCACTTGCAAGATGCTGCCCTCACAATCGAGATGTATTTGATTTATTTTCTGAATATTTTATAATTCACATTGTTATAATTCGCACTGACAACTTTATCTTGCGGAGCACTGTCGAAGCTGAACGTTCCAGTTGCCTAACTGTTGGTGTGCTTTTGTTCCTCTCAAACACTTTGGATGTTTATTGTTTAATAAAATAAATATTTTATAATGTTTTCAGTGTCTTTTTTATAACCAGCTCTCACATTTCCATAAAATAATGGAATCAGACGCTGTACCTTTTATTTTGTTGGGTTTCTTTGTGGTTGTTGCATTTTGTGTGTTTCATGCATGGATTTTCTCTTCTCATGAACAACAAGCTGCCAAAACCTTAACGTGTCTAAAGGGTCATTTTCTCTGTCTGATGTAGTCTCACGTCATGCTTAAACAATACTCGTATCACAGTGATTCATTCTCTATTATACTGTTTATTGTGTAATAAATTCAGATGCCCAATCCAAATACAATGGTTCGTTATTAGTGCTGTTTGCTTTGAATGACTCACCTACGTTTGTATTTCAGTGTTAATATTGTTCTTGCCTCATCTGGAAAACCAGGGTCAAACCGGTTTAAGGTTTGGTTGTCATTTCAATGAAATAATGGCTCTTGTGTTATGTCTAGAGGAGAATGATGCACAATATGTTCAAGTTGGATGGTCATGCTTGGTCAAATTCTGTGCACCTAAATACTATTGTTTCACTGATGATGTTTTTTCTCTTAATTATGGAAATAATAATCGAAACACTCTGTTCTTTTCACATCTGACTCATTCATCTATTATGCAGTAATACTTTGTGAGCAGCCAGTGAGCTTGTCCTGTTTCCCCAGGAGATGGCAATGTAAAGCAGCAAGTCTTAATTGCTCACTTTTTCCTCTGTCCAGGCTGCAGTAAATACTGTACATTAAACTAAAGCCCCACATTGAAACCCTACACATTATTGGAACCCGTTACTGTCCCAAATAGATTGATATGTCATTTAAAACAAGAAGGGAAGTTGGCTAGAACTGATGAAGTTAAGATTTTTCTACATCAGTAATGCTTGTTAACAGGAAAAAACAACCCTTTGAATAGTTTCGAATAAACCAATGATTCTGATTTCTTCATATTAATACGTCTATAGAAGTGTTTGTGAAATTGAATGTGTGTATGACCTTATGAGGTTATCATATTATATAGTTGTGACCAAGTTGAGTTGAGTTTGCTGCTCCTATGGTCATGTGAGCCATGAGCAATTGAGCCAAAAAACATGACTTAAATAACCTCCATCCTCCAAATCATTTTTTTCTAAGATTGCAAATTTATAGTGAAATACAAATCCAAGAAAACATTTTTTATTTCATTTTCACACATTCCTCAACAGCTATCATCTTACTCTGTAATTGAAAAAAAGTGTACATGCAGCACGAATGTAGTTAAGATAATGCAAACAATTACACAGCAAAGCACCCTGAGCTTTTAACTCATCCACTGTATGGAATATAGAAAGAAAGGTGAATCCTAATGAAGACATTGCAGAGTCAAGTGAGCAGAAATCAAATGTATCAAAAATATATATGTTATCTTCTCCCTCCTTGCCGCCTCTTAATAGTATTGTAATCTTCCAATTAATGATGCGGCCCGTTCTGACAAGCAGAAGGGCAGCAAGCGTGGTAGCAATGTTGAAATGCATGATGTATAGGTTATAGTGGTGCAGAGGGGAGGAAGTAAGTACCTCATAAAAGCCCCGGTGCAGGACTCTGCTACCATTACTCACTCTGCCAAATCCTGTGAATCATTCCTGGCTCTTCTAATCGTTAAGCTCTCCTCTCTCTTTCCCTCCCAACTTAACACTGAGGTCCCAAAAGTGTCCTCTTTGCTCCTCAACTTCAGCACACACATCCCAGCTTATTTCTTAACACCTGGAAGTGTTTTCTGTCAGATTGTGACCTAGATCATTGGAGTGCTGGAATAAAACATATTCTACCTTTAACATAACATGTACATACAGTTAAATTCCCCTTGTTCACCACTGGAGGGGGCACTAACCTTGCACGAAGATTCCTCTGTCTTACCTTTGTCAGCTTGTTTTATTGCCCAGTGGTTTATTGATTAGTAGAACTGATTATTACTGTGTAATTTCAGTGTCATGTACACATTGATCGCAGCTTGAGAGCAGGAATTAGGGGCTGATTGAAAGCTGTTCTGTGTCAGTAATTGCTTCGGCGACTTTCTTGACAGGGGCTTGAGTTACGGCAGCAAAGAGCAAGTGAGCCATCAAACATTTATCCAACCCAAGATTATAAGAAAGGATTATTTTTGAGATATCCTAATGATGTTCTTCTATATTAGAAATACCTGTCAGTGTTGTCTGGTCAATGTTCAAAGACCATACCAAAAGGATTGTATGATTGAGTGGCATCTAGCGGGGAGATTGCAGATTACAACCAACTGAATACTCCTGATCACCCTTTCTTTTTCAATAATGATTGGAAAATTAAGATGCCTTCAGTAAAAATATACAATGTCCCACTAGATTCAATGTAAGGTCGGTCTGTTCTGGGATTTTGTGGAAACATGGCAGTTCAACATGGCAGACTGTAGTCCAAATAAAGGGCTTGTTCTACACACTTGATGTAAAATCACAAGCAAAACTCCAGCAACACTTTACTTAAGAAAGCATTCCTAAAATGTACCCAGTGTATAAAGAGGATATCTATTTTAATTGATAGTTACTATCAATATAAAAATCCCATAGTTGAATTATCACAGCACTCTAGCATACATACTATTTTAATTTATCTGGACAAATTTAGCAAATGTAGTCTGTTCTACTGTATTACTCTAACAACAGTGCTTTTTCTTTTTCCAACATTCATAACCATGAATCACTCACTATTTATGTCAAATAAAGTGGGGTCTTAAGTAACAAAAGTAAAAGTATCTCACAACTCAACACTACTTTATCTAATGTACTACACTGCATATCATTTTTAATTCAAACGTATCTCAACACTTATTCTCACATGCAGATGGGACACTGGTGGGGTTGACATCCTGCAGGGTCTTATTACTTGAATGTTCTCAGCATAAACCCAGAGAATGTGTCTGGTCAGGTGTCACCTTGAGATGCATTGACATTCCTGTCAGCAGGGGAGTGTGTGTGTGTCCCGGAGAGACTCGGTGGCTTCCTGACTCCCTGACTGGCTGCCCCCCCCGGCCCCTCAGGGCAACTCCTTTTTTAATCTGCTGACCCCCCCCCACAGCTCCACAGGAGTAATTACAAGTTACACCCTGAGGTGAGAAGGCTGAATGAAATGGGACTGTACTTCTATTTCTCATTATCACATACAAATCTCTGCAATGATTCCTGAGTAGTCCTATTAGTCGGGACTGGATCTCCCCCCAAAGTCAAAGTTTAATAACTGTGGCAGGATATTGCCAGTGTCCCTGAGGCATTCTGGAAAATTGGGACCAAGAGAAATGTTGTACAACTGTGAGAAAAAAACGCTCCTAAACTTTTTACATTGGTTGGTTTTGGGTGCTATGTGCCGAATGAAATCTCTCTAACCATTGTAAAATATGAGGGTGCCCGGAGATGACCCTTGCTATTACTTTTTCAAGTTAACTTTTATATTAAAAAAGAATGACGGATTTATTTAAAAAAGGAATGCATTAAACTATAACTTCATTAAGGCTAAAATGTATTTCACATTTATATACCTTAGTAGAGTTAATGCCCCATAACATTAGACAGTATATTTATTTTCCTCAATGTATTCAGAAAGCTGACTCAACTTTCCAATTTAAATGTGATAAATTAGAAAATGTAAATACTTAATTTAATATTATAGCCTTTCCATTAACTTTACTAAGGGAGGTGGCTTCATACTTGCCTCAACATACCGGTATATATTTCTGTGCACTCTTTTCCATAAAGCATATATTTAAGCTGTTAAAATGCTTCCCACTGTTTTTAGTTGCTTTGCACCTGCACTGCTAAATTGCACCTCAGCTGTATTGCTTCAACTTGTGCCTCTGCTGCAGCTCATGTTACACTTCATGTGCACGCTCACCTGCCTACGATGTCATCATGTTTCCCCAGGTTGGCTATGTGGAAGAAATACCTCTCTATCTACCTGTCTCTATTGGTCTCCAATGTGACATTCAATCCAAAAGTAGAGGTCTTAGTGGGAATGAGTTGATGTCTGTGCTATTTTGGTAGCATTTTTGTGCTTGGTTTGCACTCTGAGCTAAGGTTATGAGGCTGCTGTGCTGCTGTTTTATTGCTGTCCTGCTGCTCTGCTTGTGGTCGACGTCGTGTTGTCTGCTGGCTATTTCTGCTTTCATGCTGCTGCCCTTCATCGTTATACTATACTTTGAATTGTAAATGTATGTTTTCTATATTATGGGATTTGTGTTGCTGTGTGGCATTTTTCTGCTTTTCATTCATTTATTCATTTAAATGACCCCACTTCTTTGCAAATAATAATAATTCTATTATTTTTAAACACTGCTGCAAACCCTTGCTGGTGTGATGTTGTGTGAGCTGCTATTTGCCAGTCAACACAGAATCTTATTTTTATTTTTATTTTATTTGATGTATGTATACATAAACATAATTCCACTACACAAATATACCTATAGATATATAACTAAAAAAGTATTGCCAGAAATAAACAAATAGTGTAAACTATGTTAACAGCTATATCAAATAATGGAACATTTTAGAGGCATTTTCCATCATTAATCTGAATATTCAAACAACAATCCATTTAACAGCAATGAAAAATAATAATAAAACTGAAGCTATGTCTTGCACATACAAAAGGTTAGACAACAAGATGGTGAAGACTGCCTCATCTAATGCAAATTGAGCATTAATATGCAGAGTAATGACGCACTTTGTATCTTGGCTGAGCTATTGATAGTCACATGGCCTCAACAAGAGTCAGCACATGTGATGCTGAGTTAATAAAGTGTACCTTCCCTCAATCACACAGCGGTCCAGTGTGACGTCAGTTACCAGAGGTAATTAGAGTTTTATGTAAGGAGGAAGCAGGGAGTGACGGTGGAGCTTGGGAAGTCACCTCAGCGCCCCGCCCACAGTGACTTGGCAGATGTGTAGCGAGCTGGAGTGCACAACAGCTGCTTGCTCTAAATCAGGCCTCCAGTCCGCCCCTCTGCCTTTGAGCTCCT